TACAGTGGAAAAACAATAGGTAAGTGTATAAAAATATAAGGTTACTGTTTGTAGCTGATGATAGCTAAAGGAGGAGCATGACTGTTGATACTGTCAAAACTAGAAACTGTAAAGAGACTGTGTCGCTCACTGACAACAATAGCCATTTTTTTGTTAAAAATCATCACGAAAGAGCAATAACTCTATAAAGAGTGAACTGACAGTTTCAGTCATGTTGACATATTTGTAGATCTTGTCCTGCTGACAGTTTCGGTCATGTTGACATATTTGTAGATCTTGTCCTGCTGACCATTTCAGACATGTTGACATATTTGTAGATCTTGTCCTGCTGACAGTGTCAGTCATGTTGACATATTTGTAGATCTTGTCCTGTTGACAGTGTCAGTCATGCTGACATATTTGTAGATCTTGTCCTGTTGACAGTTTCAGACATGTTGATATATTTGTAGATCATGTCCTGTTGACAGTGTCAGACATGTTGATATATTTGTAGATCATGTCCTGTTGACAGTGTCAGACATGTTGACATATTTGTAGATCTTGTCCTGCTGACAGTTTCAGCCATGTTGACATATTTGTAGATTTTGTCCTGCTGACAGTTTTAGACATGTTGACATATTTGTAGATCTTGTCCTGCTGACAGTTTCAGTCGTTATGACATATTTGTAGATCTTGTCCTGCTGACAGTTTCAGTCGTTATGACATATTTGTAGATCTTGTCCTACTGACAGTTTCAGACATATTGATATATTTAATCTTGTTCTGCTGACAGTTTCAGACATGTTGACATATTTAATATTGTCCTGCTGATAGTTTCAGACATGTTGACATATTTAATCTTGTCATGCTGACAGTTTCAGTCATGTTGACATATTTGTAGATCTTGTCCTGCTGACAGTTTTAGACATGTTGACATATTTGTAGATCTTGTCCTGATGATAGTTTCAGACATGTTGACATATTTAATCTTGTCCTGCTGACAGTTTCAGTCATGTTGACATATTTGTAGATCTTGCCCTGCTGACAGTTTCAGTCATGTTGACTTGTTTGTAGATCTTGCCCTGCTGACAGTTTCAGACATGTTGACATATGTGTAGATCTTTTTCATTCATGTTGACATATTTGTATATCTTGTCCTGCTGACAGTTTCAGTCATGTTGACATATTTGTAGATCTTGTCCTGATGATAGTTTCAGACATGTTGACATATTTAATATTGTCCTGCTGACAGTTTCAGTCATATTGATATATTTGTAGATCTTGTCCTGCTGACAGTTTCAGACATGTTGACATATTTAATCTTGTCCTGCTGACTGTTTCAGTCATGTTGACATATTTAATCTTGTCCTGCTGACAGTTTCAGACATGCTGATGTATTTAATCTTGTCCTGCTGACAGTTTCAGACATGCTGATGTATTTAATCTTGTCCTGCTGACAGTTTCAGACATGTTGAAATATTTAATCTTGTCCTGTTGACAGTTTCAGACATGTTGACATATTTAATCATGTCCTGCTGACAGTTTCAGTCATGTTGTCATATTTGTAGATCTTGTCCTGCTGACAGTTTCAGTCATGTTGTCATATTTGTAGATCTTGTCCTGCTGCTTATTTTTGCTCTTTTGAAGTTTCTACAATTGTATCTTTTAAAAAAATTGGGAAAAATGCGAAAAATTGGGAAAAATCCTCATTAAAGAGCAAACTTCAATAAGGAGTCAACTGACGATTTCACTCATGTTCAACTTATTTGTAGATCTTGACCTGTTGATCATTTTGGCTTTTTAAAATTTTTCCTGTCTAAAGTAGTTTTTTAAAAGATACAAGGCAAAAACGCACAAAAATGGTAAAAATCGTCATCAAAGGACAATGACTCCTATAAGTAGTTGTCTGATGATTTCAGCCATGTTGACTCATTTGTATGTCTTGTCTTGCTTATCATTTTTCCTGATAAAAATTTCTCTGTATCTATTATAGTTTTAAATATAATAGACAAAATGAAAAAAAAATGAATGATAAAATTGACATTAAAGGGCTATAACTCCTATATGTAGTCATCTGACAGTTAAAATGGACAGCAGGTAGATCTCAACATTCTCAACATGTCTGCCCCCATCAGTTTTTCTCTATTCATAGCAGTATTCAAGATAATAGACAAAACTTGCATTTCTGTTTTATTTTTAGCCATACCAGCAATCTAAGATACCCCAATAATTATTGTGGCCAAGTTTAGTTAAATTTGGCTCAGTAGATTCAGAGGAGAAAATTTTTGTAAAAGTTAACGGAAGTTGATGACAACTACAACGGACAGCGACAGATGCCAAGCAATGAGAAAAGCTCACTTTGCCTTTTGGCCAGGTGAGCTAAAAAGGAAAGTGAATAAAAATACTTTATATATCAGACATGCGTTTTATTATAAGGGAATCTTACAATAATAAATACATCTTAAATAACTTGATACTAATATAAAGGTATGGTATAAAACACATGCATAAATGCTTATAATAAAATAATTGGTCAAAACAAGTAAATCATATGTGTTATATAATTCGTTGTTTCAGAATCTAATGCATTTTATGGTAATATTTTTAAATGTGTTTATTTCTTTTTAAAACATTGTGATTGGTTAAAAACATTCTTAACAATAGAAAATCAACCAATGACATGATGTTGTTTTTATTTCAAGGTATGAACAATGAAATTACCCATAGTACTTTAGTTTCTGAAACTACGAATTCTTATAAGTCCCTTTGACAAGATGGCCAGTATGTTTCATATAGCATTTTGTTTTAACTACCCATCTCTTAAATGTATACCTCATATGTGTATTGCAGAACTTAAAATGAAAAAAAATAAGGCTACAAGAGAGCATCACTCTTTTTGTATTTTAATTAACCTGGGGGTTGTGGCCTTCTTAAATTCGGGAAAAATAAAATTAATATGTATTTCAAAAAATTAAACAAAATAGACAATATTGACTACTATAACATAAAAATAGTATTATTTGACAACCCAGCATACCAAGGTATCCACTTCATGGACTCTACCGAAAGGATTCACACAGGCGTTGGTTCACCAGACGGAGTATAACATAAAAAGTATAAGAATTTGTGCAACAGATAGTATTATAAACTAATATCATGTGTAAATAAATTACTGACATATTTTGTTGTTATAACAAGTTAAGGAAGTTTAAATATAACACTTAAAGATGATATAGCAACTATACATTTCACAGCATGATAAAGTAAATTATAAACTCTTTTATATATCAATATTTAATAGCATGGTAAAGACAAAGTGTCAATTTCTTAGATATTTTCAGTAAAATGTAGTGGTCCAATTTCAATCAAATTTTGAAATATATTCAAAAGAGTTGTAACGTATTTGTCTCTAATAATAATCATGAAATTAAAACAAAACAAATATTATCTAACCAACCTGTTCCCTGTAATATTTCTACTGGTTATCATGGTAACAGATATTATAATGCATTTTTTGATAGTTAGTTTAAACATATTTTATTGTTCAAAATGACAAGTGGATCAGACACAAGTTTTATAACTTAGTAACGTCTTCTCCAAAACAAATTTTTATAGTTTGTGAAATTGTTTAATGTCATGTGACCTTTAATTGATAAAATCGTAAGAATTCTTCTTAAAGGCTAAAAAAATTTCAATCAAACATCACTTCAAAAAATATCAAATCAAAACTCCAATACTGCAATTCTAAAATTGTAAGTATTTAATGCTGTAATTTGAAATTTCAACATTGCAGTTCTTAATTTGTATCAGTGTAGCACTGTTCTGTAAATAAAAGTTCGTGAATATTGCAACTCCTCCTTTGTAACAAAATTTAAATTATGAAATTATGGTTTAAATACTTATGATTTAAGAATGGCAATGTTGGGATTTTGACCCTTTTGGCTTTCCATAACAAAAAGAGCAAGAATATTTTGTGATACTTTATCATGAGAAAATTTATAGAAAAGTGCATATGAATAAAATACAAGATGTTAAATAGGACAAAACAAAAGTTCAAGTCTACAAAAAAAAAAAAAAAAAAGCTAAAAGAGTCATTTACATACAACTTTTATTTGAGACCAGATAAGTAAATACAACCATTTATTTCAATTATAATTTTGATATACAATACTATAAGCACTGGAAAAAATTGTTAATTTATATTGACCATATATATTTATCACATGGTCCAAAGGGACAGCTAGGGGTCAACTCTCAAATTTTTTATCATCTTTTCAGGAAGAATTAATAATAAATGCATAATATGTAGCTATTAGCAGTCAGGGGCATTACTTAAATAAGTAACAATTAAAATTACCTATACAAGTAATGTTGAAAACGAGGCTATTTTAAATATTACTTATATAAGTAACTTTTCTGAATATTATTTTTATAGGTGTCCAATTATACAGATTTTAGTAGCTTTAACAAATTTTCACAGTCATCTGGTTATTTTTCCCATGAAATATAAAATCTAATCCTTATGAAACACTGATTAACTTTCTGACGCACTTATCTTTCATACTGACGCTTCTGGGTCAAAGATTGGTCTCATGGGACTATTAAATTATCATTTTCCTCCAAAATCTTGAAGGTAGACTGATATAAATAGATAGATACTTGTGAATTAATTAAGACTTGAAGTTATTTATAACTTGTAACAAAAATCAATTACATATGTTCCTTCAATAAGTGTTATTACTATTTTTTTCCAAAAATGTATAAAATAACTTATTCAAGTAATATTTTTGTCATTATTTTTAAAGTAACCCTTTATCTCTATACTCCTCTCAAATCTAATAAATTCTTTATTTTATGATATAAAATGATGTAAAAATTCATGAAAACTACATTTAGTCTATACTTCTATTGAAATTGAAAATAACTCTATTAAGTAATTTTATTATTTTTAAAAACAAAAATTACTTATATAAGTAACTTAAAAAAATAACTTGTTTAAGTAACGCCCCTGACTGATTAGCTTAACACTGATAAATAATAGCAAAAAGAAAAAAATTTGTTCCTACTGTACTAATATCTAAGATTATGACTAAACATTAACATATATGACAAAACTTTTACAACTTACAATCAAACTGATTTTTTAAAGGGATTTATTTACAAGACTTTTACAAGAAGAATAATAAAACGAAAATAAATCTTCACGAATTAACGAATCTGAAGATGTATTCATATAAGAGAAGATTTGATTTTAACATACCATGGATCTTCTTTTGTATAAATAAATCAACAAAGTGATAGGATTGTGAAAATAAATGGCTGCAAAGTTTGCTAGAAAGGGTTATACACATCCCAAAAATAGGTTGGTTAACACTAATGTTATTTTAGGAACATTATTTGGTACATAAGTGTATATGGTGATCAGTGGTAGTGTATTTCTAAAAGACGAAACATTCGGCACTATGAAAAGTATTGGAAGAAAAATGTATATGCACAACCCTTGACTAATTACAATAGAACATTGCCACTACTAAAATGTTTGTTTCATTAACTACACTTCCCCCCTAACATATAAACTTTGTCCCCAAAATACAAATATTTCTATAATAGGACAACTAACAACAGACATAATGTGTGTCACTAACTACACTCCCCCCTCAACATTTACATTTTGTCCCCAAAATACAATATTTTTACAATATGTCAACTAACAACACACCAAACAACAAATTAATACTTAAACATATAACATCATCAACAACAAGACATCAGTAGGTAATCTGATCAATTTCTGTAGAACTAAACTGACATATGGCAAATAGCATAACCAAAATTATTATTGTTTACTGAAAATTTAAGTTACACCAAATTGGCTTTTAAATTTTCAGGAAATGTTACATTTTTAATTTCCTGAGAGAATATTTGTTACAACCATAAAGTACCATTAACTTCCACACCACTAATATAAATATTTTAAAGTGCCACTAGGACCTCAAGGGACAATCCAAGTTTTTTAGTTGCCAAAGCTGAAGTAAATTTTCGGAAATAAAAACCTCAAAATTTCCACTGAATAGGTTGATATTTGAAAAAAAAAAAAAAAGATGTGGGTGGCACATCAATCAGACAATACCAAACTTCACCCTGTTTTATTGTTATTGATAAGTATCACTTAATATGAGTTTTCCCCATATTTTACACTTTTTGCTCTACACATTTACCTATTTTAAATAATCATTGGAAAATAAAGTCAAACAAAACATTTCTAAATGAGGCCCCATTCTGAAAAAAAATACTTATTGTATTAAATGATATAATTCCAGTGACTAAATTACCTACTGATTTCATTGGCTGATGATGGTGACTAGTATGTTACACTGAAGGTCACATGATTGCAATATAAATTATTACTGGTCAAGTCTAATCACTGGGTGGAGCTTAAATTCAATTACTGGGCAACATTATTCCATGTAGGCTAATAGTTTATGGTGAGGCTCCAGTTTATCAAGTCAGAAGTCAAATCTATAAACAACAATGTGATTACAACATCACTCTTTCCTACTATTTATAAAAAGACTTTTTTACTTGTTGTCATTACAATTAAGCTCCATCCCAGTAAATTTATGCAAATTAATCTATTGCAAGGGACATAACTCTTATAAATCACTGGTATGTTTATGTCAACCATTTTCATACAAAGTATTCTAAGAAACACAGATAATCTTCTGTTTCTTATGATTGCTTTAAAGGCATTGCCGAATCTGACTATTACAAACACATTTCTGATTTATTAAAGAGTTATCTCCCTTCACCCAGAATAAACCAAGATATCAATACCATAACAAATAAACTTTAACACTTCAACAATGACAATATTTCTGTGGATTCATTTATTTTCAAGGGTTCAAAATTTTGTTGATAGCGGAAACATTTTATTTTTGCGGATATTTTATTTCATGGTTATATCAAAGTCTGCATGTACACGCCTTTAAAAAATTTGTACTTCTTTAAACATTTAAATTTGTGGTTTACCAATACCCACGAAATCAACGAAAATTGGTATTCCACAAATTTTAATGTATCTGTAGTAACTTGTATTAAACACAACTCATCCAGACTGAGACTAAAATGACTGGGTAAATTGTTGTAATAATCATGTTACTTTAAATGAAATATATTATGTATATCATATTCAGCAATTACATCAATAATGCACAATTTATCATGCATTTTTCACTGAATTAAATGACTTGAAATGTTCAACATATAGGTGCAAGATCAGATATAAAATCAAACACACCTTAGACCTTTTCTATGGATAAGGGCAGTACTGTTATTTGAACATATAAAACAGTGTCACCTTAAAAAACACATGGAAGCAATTCTATTTATCAAAGACACCTTTGGGTTGAGCAATTAAAATTAACAAACTTTTGGGATTTTCAATCTTGTCAATTAACAAACTTAGGACTGTTCTATTTAATTTGAAACACATACAATCTGGTCCTTCAAGGTATTGAAAGAATTTTTAATCTTCTTTGAAGAATCCTCATTATAAAAGCTCCTATATATTGTTAAATAATGTATAGTGGAAAGAACTTTCATAGAGAATTTCATGGAATAAATACATAAAGATGTAAGGATTAAAAGATGAAGAATGAGACAGCAACCCAATGGATTAGTAGATCTATGAATTCTTGTTTCCTTTTACTAATAGTCTACTGTTAACATGAAGTGATTCTGGGTTGTTTTATGAGGATCTGGATGGGTTTCACTCATTTCTCTGGGTTGTTTTATGAGGATCTGGATGGGTTTCCCTCATTTCTCTGGGTTGTAATATGAGGATCTGGATGGGTTTCCCTCATTTCTCTGGGTTGTTTTATGAGGATCTGGATGGGTTTCCCTCATTTCTCTGGGTTGTAATATGAGGATCTGGATGGGTTTCCCTCATTTCTCTGGGTTGTTTTATGAGGATCTGGATGGGTTTCCCTCATTTCTCTGGGTTGTTTTATGAGGATCTGGATGGGTTTCCCTCATTTCTCTGGGTTGTTTTATGAGGATATGGATGGGTTTCCCTCATTTCTCTGGGTTGTTTTATGAGGATCTGGATGGGTTTCCCTCATTTCTTTATTCTTTCATTTTTTTAGATAATTTTTCTCTTATCTTTATTTATTTTTCCCATTATTCTCTGTATATTACAGCACCTAATTATTTTCTATTCTTATTTTTTTGGCCTTTTTTTCTCTATTCTTTAGCCCTTTACTCTGCACTCTTTGCCTATTATTCTCTAAACCCCACCAAGACCCTCTTTTATGTATGTGTAATGAATTAAATAAAATGTATACAATTTATATGACCCTGTCATCATCCTTTAGGGCTATTTCATTTAGTCAAATACTTCTATAGCATAAATTTCTGTTTGACCATAAGCACTGGAATTCTTAATTTTAGCTTAAGCCACACACAAATATTGCCTACTCTTAGAGCTACCAAAAAAATGAATGATTGAAAGGAATAGATTTCATTGAGACAAATGAAATTTTTGTTCTATTTTTAATTTGACATCAAATGTTCCAAGACGAAGCTTTAAAGTGGTTGCTGCACAAATTTCATTTCTTTATCTAAGCATGTGTAATTAATAAGGTTGCTAATCACAAATGATCCAAGGCGTATTTCATGAAAAGATAAAAATATCAGCAGTACCCTACAATGAATCTGATCTTGCCATTTTCAATTGTATAAATTACAAACTTTTAAAACTACATTAATAAAGGATTTCTCAAAAGTTTTCCTGTCAAGTTATTAAGACTTTTGAGACAACCCTCAAATGATAAAATCTCATAGATTATATTGCACATATCACTGAAACAGCGTGACTAATTGTTTAACAGCTTTAGCGATATCGAATGCCCCTTGCATCACTTGTTGAGTCCTGTAAGGTTCTCCGTCACTTGTTTCGTAACATTCTTGTTGTAAGCGCCCAGCACTTGTCACTAATAAATGTAATGCACATTTTACACTTTCGGATTTTGGCTTCTGAAATTAAAATTATATACATAAATAAAAAAAAAAACAATGAAAATTCAAAAGGGTCAGGCAGTAATAAAAAATGATCAAGTTTTAATGGTGATTCCATATATATTAAGAAATGTTTTATAAAGTCTTCTTGTGTTAATCCTAAAGATAAGTAATTTCTAAATCTAGTGTAAGATACACTTGTATGATATGTGTGGTAAGTATTTTTTCTATAATACAATACAATAATTTTTGTCAATTGTGATGACTGTTAGGAGTATGACACATTTGATTGATTGATTGATTGGTGTTTATCGCCACTTTCAACACTATTGTGCTATTTCGTGGCGGTCAATTTTTATTGATATAGGAAGCCGGAGTACTTGGAGAGAACCACCGACCTTCGGTAGGAAAACTGACAATCCTAGTCAATTAAGATTGGAGTTGAGTGCACCTGCCCCGTGTGGGATTTGAACTCATAACCTCAGTGTTGACTGGCTAGTGATACAGTAGTGACTTATTTCACAAAAAAATCTTACAAGAAAAAGATTTTGTAACTCATTATTCTTTGTTGTAAATTAGTCTGTTAGTTTTCTCTTTTGAACTGTTTCACATTTTTCATGTCGAGGCCTTTTATAGCCGAATATACTGTATGGGTTTTTCTCATTGTTGAAGGCTGTATGGTTGCCTACAATTGTTTAAATCCACTTTATTTGGAACTCTGGAGGTTAGTTGTCTCATTGGCTACCTTACGACATCTCCTTATTTTTTTATATTGTTACTCATCATCGACATGAACATTTCAGAATAACTTACAATCAATTGTTGTAATAAGATTTTGGTGAAAAGATCCCAAGAGTAATTATGATTGGCAATTACCCAGTCTATTATACCATGGAAAAAGTATAATTATTTTATCATTTGTAGTAAGAAAGTCATAGTTAATCATTTATTATGTTCAGGTTTGTTCTTATATTTGTTATTATTTGTAGTAAGAAAGTCATTATTAATCATTTATTATGTTCAGGTTTGTTTCTCGTCTTGTCAGTATATATTATTTCACCTTCTGGCTTTTCCAGAAATTGGTAACACACACACTTTTTTAGAACATAAGCACTAAAATATTATAAGTTCATTTGCAGTTATTTCTTTCTTGAGTATTTTATCCAGCTTTGCAATCACATCAACATAAAATCCAGCCAAGGTTCCTGTGTCCTTTAAACTGAGGTGCAGATGTTGATCAAACTGAGGGTTTTAACATTATTAAGATGAACAAATGGAGATACAGGGTATATGTTAATGAGATAGCAACCCAACAAAACACAAAACCAGTCATTGAGAGGTCAAGATATTTTTAGCTTTCTGCTTTTATGAGCAGTTTTGATCACTGATTTATACAAAGATTGTACCATTAGAAGGTATTGGTTCACTCGTCTCGATGTTTTAGTTTTTTTGTGAACCCCTGCATCCATACGATCCACCTTTGCCAAACGAGCGTAGTACTATACAACCACATGGTATGGATAACATTACAAACCCTTTTCCGAGATTGCCGATCCATTCTAGAAAGAAAATGATTAACTCTGACACACAGGGACCAAAGAAGATTATTGCAAAACAGAATGAACTGCAGAACCATACCACTTTATTTTCAAATTGAACTTCTAATGAAACATGGCCAGTGTACCATAACTGCAAATATCATACAGATTAACCGCAATTTCCACAATGCCCTACATGTGCGACTACCATACATCCCACACTATTCCCGACGCAATTGGAAGTAGTACCTCATTCAGGGTGAAGCCAGTTGAAATGGTACCGAATGTCCAGTGAGGTGTTGTCCATTTTGGAAAAGATACTGACAATTCATTATTAACTTTTACTTTCACTTTCAATTTAACATCAAACTATGTATTGTGACGTTACATCTTGTTAACCTTTTTGTAACCCCATATGAACCGCATTTTATGCACTTGTTTCCTTTAAACTGTCCTGAAGATGCCACCGTAAGTGGCGAAACATGTAGACCAGAATAAAGCATTTCCTTGTAGTAATCCAGGATGTTGTTGTCTTTTTATAGTTATAAAGATTGTTATAGTAGAAAAGGAAAACTTACAATAGGAAATAATGAAGCCATTTCTGTAACAGCATTATGGATCTTATCTGCACATGGTCCAAAACTGTAATATAACATTGAATATGATGAGGTAATACAATAAACTGTTAACAGCATTATGGATCTTATCTGCATGTCAGGATTTTAAGTTAACATTTGATTTGGATAGAAACTTTGTATTTTCTGAAAGTTTAAATATGGGTATTAAAAAGGTAATTGAAAATAGACACCATATTCAGAGCCATTATTTGGTTCTAAAATTCGACAATAGATTAATTCTCACTCCTTTTAAAGTCAGGTTAATAAAATTTTGCATTTTTTAAGTCACTGTGATGTCATTAATAGGGCATGATTGACACAATTGACTTACAGTGTCGTTTAAATAGAATTAGGTAAAATCATAATAGTGAAACAGCTTTACCCTAAAACACGTACACAAATGTATGAACATCTGTTTATAGTTATCTTGCTGCAAATTCTCTCTCCGGGTAAGAATGTTGCTTATAGCTAATTATAAGTTGAAATACCTCAAGAAGAGTGTTTTGGCAGTTATTAGTTAAAATACCTTTCAAAGAGTATGCTTTGGCAGTAATTTGTTAAAATACCTGAAAAGTATGCTTTGACAGTAATTTGTTAAAATACCTTAAAAATAATATGCTTGGCAGTTATTTGTTGAAATCTTTTTTACCGAGTATGTTTTGGCAGATAATTGTCTAATACCTTTAAAAGAGTATGTTTTGTCCATTATTTGTTATAATACCTCAAAACGAGTATGCTTCAAAATTTCAGGGACAAACTGAGGGATGCACAGAGATTGCACTATTATCGTTTATCAAATTAACATTTTAAAGACGTTATTTGATAGACAAATATTTTCTGCCTGAATTCTGTATTCATGGTACAATATAAACAATAACTGGACAGGAGAAGTTATTTAATATCTACCTGTCATGTTTGCCTGTTTGTCCAGAATGATACAGTTCTTGAATATTTTTGGTGATTTTTTCCGTCTTTTCCATAATAACTTCCTGTGACGGTAAATCAGGATCAATCTCATGTATATTTCCATGACAACTATTTATTTCATCATCGTCCATAAAATGTTCTGAGAAACTGAAAATAGAGAAAATAAAACTAATGTTTATTTTCATGACATCATTTTTCATCTTCTTTTAAATACCTGCCTTGAGAATATTTCCCCAGCTGAATAAAAAATGTGACAAAAATTTCATATATATACGAGGATAATATTTTATAGATATGTTTACGGCAAACAGAAATTAGAACATTCTAAAAAAATATATGCTATAATGCATATGTGCATGTCTGATAATTTGTATTCAATCAAACTTTTCTTGAAACTTTTAACAATACATGAGACTACTTTGGAGTTTGGAATACTTGAATTACAACTTCTGGTAATAATAAATTTGGTGAATTAAAAAACTTAACAAACATTTTGTGAGGTTGAAGACTTACCATTAGTTTATTGCACTATTGTCGAGAGCTGCGAGTTAGGACAGTCTTACTTTTGGTTTATTGCACTATTATAAAGAGGCAGAAAGCTTGAACATTAAAACTTTGTTTATTGCAGTATTGTCAAGAGAGTGAGCTAGGACAGTCCATGCCTTTGGTTTATTTCACTATTACCGAGTAACAGAGCTTGGACAGTCATACCTTTGGTTTATTTCACTATTACCGAGTAGCAGAGCTTGGACAGTCATACCTTTGGTTTATTTCACTATTACCAAGTAGCAGAGCTTGGACAGTCATACCTTTTGTTTATTGCACTATTATCAAGTAGCAGAGCTTGGACAATCATACCTTTGGTTTATTGCACTATTATCAAGAGGCAGTGAGCTTGGACAATCATAATGAGACACATCTTGTCCTACGGGTTTCTGAAGTTCTGCACTTGCTTCATCGTGAAGGGAAGGAATTCTCTCTCTTTCACACTGAAACAAAAGATTAAACCTTTACTTATTAAATAGATAATAAAATGTAAGAAAAATTAAGTAATTTAGAAATTCCAATTATATATTCATGAGCACTTTAAGTATTTTTAGATCCCTAAATTCTAAATCTTTGGGTTTGATTGTTTCTGACAAAGGTAACTCCAGAATTGTGCTTTAGACATATCACATTTATAAAGTTTTACTTTCAGGTTTATACTGATGCATTGTTGGTTGGTTTTTATCAGATTGAACGAATAAAAAAATGATTAAATTTCCCCATGCACAATACATGTTTTTGGTATAACCTTCATCATGTTGCTTGTGGTCATAAAATCTCATTGCAAGGCTACATCTGACTGCATAAGTAGTAGTTCTAATTATTTAATGAAACGTGTCTGGCATAAAAAATTATGAAATATGTTTTTGTTAGAGGCTAATATTACTTACCCAAGCTTAATGTGCCTTAGAGTTATATGATATATAATTGCAGGCTATCTTTTGGTTCTGATGAAAATATGTTTTTGTTAGAGACTACTATTACTTACCCAAGCTTAATGTGCCTTAGTGTAATAGGATATATTATTACAGTTATCTTTTGGTTCTGTATGAACTATGTTTTTGTTAGAGGCTAATATTACTTACCCCTTCTTCTTGTAAGTGAATATTTGAAAATGAATGAGCAGACGGCAAAGAATCTTTGGACTGACTCTGAAAAAAAATGAAGTATGTCTTTGGATTTTTTGTATGTTAATGGGTTGCTGTCACTGATATTTTTTGTTTTCCCAAAGACCTTATTGTACCAAGGTGATATATTTTTTAATATGGTGCTATCTGATCTGAATAGATTTTATAATAGAATGTATTGTAAATGAGGTGCTATCATTTTAGGGAAACAGTGATATCTCAAATATGATGGTGCTATTTGAAAATACTGGGGAGAACACTGCACATATCCCTCAAACTGCTTTATTTCTAAATCTTTTGGGATACTGAAACTTTATGAAAATCAAAATGAAGTTCTGCGGCAGTTATTAATGATATAAACATAAAATTAACATCACAGACCTATCAACATTATCCCTTATGTGAAACTAATATGTTTTTAATATTCACAAATCATTATCAATCTACTTTATAATATGCTTAAGGATGTAGTCAGGTGAAATAAAAAAAATCTGGAATTTAAAATTGATACTATAAAATATTGATAGATTATGGAACTCCTTTTCGAGATATTTGATTTTTAAAAAATAGCGGGAAAAGGCTGACTCAGAATTTTACCTTATATTTAGCACTGGCATTATTTGGGTTCAAATCGTAAGAAATCTAGAATCTGCTGAAATTTTGGTGATATGGAGCAAAATATTTTACCCTGTATCATAAGAAAAACCCAAAGTAGTCCCAACATCTGACAAAAATTCCTAAACCTGACATGACTACATCTTTAACATTAGTTTATTTCATCTATTTCAAATTTCAGCATTGAACACAAATTAGGAATTGCTAGAAGTTGATTAAGATTTTGGAAATGTTTAAGAGTTTTATCCCAGTTTTTGTGGGTTTTGTGCAGCTCAGTCTTTAGTTTTGTATGTATAATTTTGTGGACTTGTTTGTCTTTTGTCGTTTCATTTTTTGCCATGGCATTGTCAGTTTTTCTTCGACTTATGATATTTGAATTTCCCCTTGGTATATTCCGCCTCTTTTTTTAACAAAAGTATTGTTGTCAATAATGCTGTTTTTAAAAAAAATGGTTATTATTGTCCACTTTATCTAATTGAGAGATTTGAATATAGTCAATGCTGTTGTTGACAAACATTTATTTTTGGTGTGCATATTATCTAATAGAGAGGTTTTCAATTATAAAATATGTTCTATGGTCAGATGAGATTTCAAGTCATTAAAGTTAGTACAGTGTCTTCAGGTCATAATAATAACATCATACAGTACCAATTTTACCTCACCAGTTGTCTCAGATGTATATTTCAACAAGTAATGTCTCTTCGTTGATCCTCAAGCAATACTGGTCTGCTGATAAATAAAATGTGATACTTTCTTCCCCCAAACATCTACAATACTGACAAATGAACTTTCATATACAAAACTTGACCTACCTTTTGGGACAACCTCTGTTGATCTCTTGGCTCAAACATGGACTGTGGACGAGTTGGATTTCTAATGGGACTATTCTGGACATCGTCAGACTGACCATAACCATTAGGTAATGTCTGAATATGTTGCTGAGTATGTTCTCTCAAGATCGTGATTTCTTTGGTTAATTTCTGTACCTGTAATTATAACAATTCAAAATCATTAAATTATTGTTACACTAGTTTTGGTAGAAAGGATAGAAAGAAAATATAATGGAAGAATAAATTATTCTAATCATTCTATAATTTTGATATGAAAAGAAATAAATGGAGAATGTGTCCATGGAACACAGATGATGCCCCCACTTGCATAAAACGTTATAAAGGGATATTTTCCATTTATAAAGGGGCATAACTAAGGAATGGTAAAAGAGAAGCAACCCAAATTCAAACTTGATCTGTGTTTTGTGGTAATAAGCTTTGTGTATAAGTTTCATAACATTTAGTCAAGGGAAACTAAAGTTAGAGAATGGAAACCAATTTAGGGACATACAGACATACAGATATACGGTTAAGGGTACACTTAATGCCCCCATTGCCTACGGCAGAGGCATACAAATGAAAAATTGCTGTTTCATCCACTTGGTAAAAATGGAAAATTGTGGATGACGAAAGCGAATGCAAGCCACTATTGTGAACACCCAGGCCACTAAATTTCACTTTTAACAGTCGGGCGAAGCGACAGACAGGAAGGCGACTTCTTCAACCCAGTCACCTGCTAGCGCAAGCCTTGATGTAATGCAGGTCGTAATATCGTGTAGATATAACTTTGGGCCTGCCTGAATATTTTGTTGCATTTAAAGAAAGTTATTAATAGTATACTTTACAAAAGTTATAAATAGAATATAATGTTTTGTGAACTGTTGTTTGTTTGTTCATGTGCAGTTGGTCTTTTTCTTTTTTAGCCATGGCGCTGTTAGTTTATTTTCGACTTATGAGTTTGAATGTCCTTTGGTATTTTTCACCTCTCTTTTACATACCAGTAAATGCAGATCATCTCTCTCCTTGCGTAAATCTTTGTTCTGTTGTAGTAACTGATGAACCTGACATTCCATGGAACCAACTTTTCTCTTCATCTGAAGAAATTCTTCTGTTGAGACAGGTCCCTCTACTACAGCTTCATGATGAGGCTACAACATAAACAAATTCTTATTAGACAGGTCCCTCTACTACAGCTTCATGATGAGGCTACAACATAAACAAATTCTTATTAGACAGGTCCCCTTCTACAGCTTCATGATGAGGCTACAAAGTAAACCAATTCTTATTGTTGACATAGGTAATCTTACTTCACATAATTGTTTAACTTACGGTAAATGAAAAATACAAGTGACATTGGTAATTAATTCATCATAAAAGAGAAAGTTTTTTCTCTCTGGTTTCATGACATTAAAACCATTGTATATTGCTGATTATTTACATTATTTAAACATTGTTAAAAGCAGATTATTTTTAGAAAAATTAATTCGTCTATTTGTCTGGCAATACAATTTTCTTACAAAATTGAGAATCAGAATAAAATACTATAGCCCCCCTCAATAAATAATAAATGAAAAAGGGGGACAGACTTACTTGATGTTTTAGCTTGCTACTGGATATACTGAGATTATCTATACTACTATAATCTTCATCGGAGGCAACAACATCATATAATGGCTCTTCATCACTGGCAATACTGTTTATCTTCCTTCTTATTGGCATGGGACTAGTTGGCTTCTCTAAAACATTCATAAACTAAGATTAACTGCAATCAAGTTATTAAATATTGTCAAATTTTCCATTACGAATACTGTAAATTCAGAAATTATTGGGTACATTTATTATTGCGATTTTCAAAGAATGGACCAAAATGCGAGATTAAATATTGTGATTTAAAGAAAAGCTGCATAGAGATATATGTATCAAATGTCAGAATGCGAGCTCGTATTGCGATACTAACCCAGTTGCATTATTCGTATTATTAAAAATCCTTGCAATAATTTCTGAATTTACAGTACACAAGTAAAAGAGATTAAATACAATTTACAGCACACAAGTAAAAGAGATTAAATACAATTTATAGTACACAAGTAAATGAGATTAAATACAATATACAGTACACAACAAATGACTAATAGACAAGAACTGAATTGTTGAAAGAAAATTCAAAGTCAGCTCAATGATCAGAGTGTACATACTTATATGACTAGAATTGTTATGTCTTTCTGTTATTGATTCTGTTGATATTCAAACAAGTATCAACCTCCTTTCTTCATTTTCTATCCAAGAATTTATATAATATAACAAGAATGTGTCCATAGTAAACGGATGCCCCACTCGCACTATCATTTTCTATGTTCAGTGGACCGTGAAATTGGGGTCAAAACTCTAATTTGGCATTAAAAAGATCATATCATAGGGAACATGTGTACTAAGTTTCAAGTTGATTGGACTTCAACTTCATCAAAAACTACATTGACCAAAAACTTTAACAAATACTTTAACCAAAAACTTTTACCTGAAGAGGGACAGATGGACGGACTGACAGACGCACAGACCGAAAAACATAATGCCCATAAATGGGGCATAAAAATAAGGAGATGTGGTATGACTGTCAATGAGACAACCATCCACCAGATTTCAAAAGACGAGATGTAAGCAATTATAGGCAACTGTAAGGCCTTCATCAATGAGAAAAACCCATTCCATATAGCTAGTTATAAAAGGCCCTGTCATGAAGAAAGTGAAAAAATTCAAACAAGAAAACTACCTACCTGTTTTATAAAAATACAATTTAAGAAAAACAAATATGACAGACATGAACCAATGACAACCACTGAACTACAAAATACAGTCCTTTGACTTGGGACAGGCACATAAATAATATAGTGGGGTTAAAAATGTTTGCGAGCACTCAACCCTCCCCTAACCTGAGACAGTGGTGTAACAACACAATATTAGAACAAACTGTGGATAAAATGCTCCGCTGGGCGCAGCTTGATACGACTGCAGAGGTCGAACCCTGAACAGTTGGGGCAAGTATGGACACAACATTCAAGCTTGATACACTGAATTTGGATTGTGATTAAATATTTGACACAGCATAGGTTTCTGACACAGAATGAATGTGGTCTAAGAACTTATAAATTTTTAATTTACCTATTCAAACCATATCATTATTATTTGCTTTTACATATAAATCAGAAATAACCAATTTAAAATGGAAAATTTTAAAGAAAAAAAAAGGAAAAAAAAATCCCTCCCCCCAAATTTTTTGAACCCCCTTATGATTCATCATCCCCAAACTCAATCTAAGCCTTCCCTTCATGGTATGGTACCTTGCAGTACAATTTCAGAGAGATCCATACACTTGAACACAAGTTATTGTCTGGAAACTAGAAAAATGCTTATTTTTGGCCCCTAATTCCTAAACCTTTTAGGCAAGTACCCCCAAACTCAATTCCAGCTATCCCTTTGTGATATGGAACCTTGTAGTACAATTTCATAAAGATCCATACACTTACACACAAGTTATTGTCATAAAACTAGAAAAATGCTTGTTTTTTGCCACTTTTTTGGCCCCTAATTCCTAAAATTTTGAGGCAATTACCACCAAAATCAATCCCAGCATTCCCTTTGAGATATGGAACCTTGTAGTACAATTTCATAAAGATCCATATACTTACACACAAGTTATAGTCCTGAAACTAGAAAAATGCTTGATTTTTGCCTCTTTTTGGCCCCTAATTGTTAAAATTTGGAGGCAATTACCCCCAAAATCAATCCCAGCCTTCCATTTGTAGTATGGTACCTTGCAGTACAATTTCAGAGAGATCCATACACTTGAACACAAGTTATTGTCTGGAAACTAGAAAAATGCTTATTTTTGGCCCCTTATTCCTAAACGTTTTGGGCAATTGCCCATAAACTCAATTCAAGCTTTTCCTTTAATTTGTGATATGGAACCTTGCAGTACAATTTCAGAAAGATCTATACACTTACACACAAGTTATTGTCATTAAACTAGAAAAATGCTTGTTTTTTTCCCTTTTTTGGCCCCTAATTCCCAAAATTTTGAGGCAATTACCCCCAAAATCAATCCCAGCATTCCCTTTGTGATATGGAACCCTGTGGTACAATGTCAGAGAGACCCATAAACTAACACACAAGTTATGTCTGGAAGTTACAAAAATGCTTAATTTTGGCCCCTTTTTGGCCCCTAATTCCTTAACTGTTGGTACCATAACCCCCAAAATCAATCCCAACCTTCCTTTTGTGGTATTGAACCTTACAGTAAAATTTCATAAAGATCCATTCACTTAAACTAAAGTTAGAGTGCGAAAACCAATGTGTCCTCGGACGACGACGACGATGCCAACGTCATACCAATATACGACCACAAAATTTTTTTTGCGGTCGTATAAAAATCCATTGCAAATGACTTATCTTAATAGATAGGTATGAAGTGCAAAATAAACTAAACACAAAAACATTTTTATATGACTTTATCTTCAAAATTACACTGGTAATAATTGCTGTAACTGAATTTTTTTTAACTCTTTAAGTTGTTAGCCCGAAAGGTGATTATGAGTAGCAATGTCATTTTAAATGAATTAATCATTCTTTGAAAGTTAACATGGTTAAAGTATCAATAAAGTTTTCTGGAAACCAATGTTGAAAAAAAAACATGAACTTTTTTAATAGAGCTTCTTTCATATTGTGAAAATAATATCAATCTTTGGCCCTTAAAATATCCAATTTTTTTACAGTAAGCTTACCATATAAAGGTGAGACAGGCGATGTAACTTTACATGTTATACACCACATTTCCTATTACTACACTCCTCCATTTAAATTAAATGTTATACACATGGCTATCTAGTATCAATGGTTTACAAGTATTATATATCTACAACCTTATTATTTACACAAAGAAAGTTTGTCATACAATAAATGATTCAGTTTCCTCCTATTAATAAAAAAAATATTCATTTACCTGTTCAATTGACAAATAAACAAACAGGTAAAAACTCCACAAAAATCAACATCTGTAACAGGACACTATTAATCACATTGTAACTTAACTACACCCTGTCAATGCTGAGATTTAATACTTATCTTTTTGAAACTTAATTACACCCTGTCAATGCTGAGATTTAATACTTATCTTCTTGTTACTTAATTACACCCTGTCAACACTGAGACTTAATACTTATCTTTTTGAAACTGATTACACCCTGTCAACGCTGAGATTTAATACTTATCTTTTTGAAACTTAATTACACCCTGTCAATGCTGAGATTTAATACTTATCTTTTTGAAACTAAATTACACCCTGTCAACGCTGAGATTTAATACTTAGCTTTTTGAAACTTAATTACACCCTGTCAACGCTGAGATTTAATACTTATCTTTTTGTAAATTTAACACTCAGTAAACACTGAGATTATATACCAATTTCTTTGTAACTCAATTGCACCCAGTCAACAGTGAGATTTAATACCAATCTTTTTTTAATCTAAATGCATTCCATCAAAGCTGATATTTAATATCAATCTCTTTTTATAACTTAATTACACCCAGTCTACACAAGGATTTAATACCATTTTTTTTGTAACTTAAATACCCAGTCAACACTTAAGATTTAATAGCAATCTTTTTGTAACTCAATTACACCCAGTCAACCGTGAGATCTTTAATACAAATATTTTTGCAACACTCAGTCAACCGTGAGATCTTGAATACAAATACTTTTGCAACACCTAGTCAACCGTGAGATTTTTAATACAAATACTTTTGCGACATCCAGTCAACCGTGAGATCTTTAATACAAATATTTTTGCAACACCCAGTCAACCGTGAGATCTTTAATACAAATGCTTTTGCAACACCCAGTCAACCGTGAGATCTTTAATACAAATATTTCTGCAACACCCAGTCAACCGTGAGATCTTTAATACAAATACTTTTGCAACACCCAGTCAACCGTGAGATCTTTAATACAAATATTTTTGCAACACCCAGTCAACCGTGAGATTTCAATGCAAATACTTTTGCAACACCCAGTCAACAGTGAGATCTTTAATACAAATACTTTTGCAACACCCAGTCAACCGTGAGATCTTTAATACAAATATTTTTGCAATACCCAGTCAACCGTGAGATTTTAATACAAATATTTTTGCCACACCAAGTCAACAGTGAGATCTTTAATACAAATATTTTTGCAACACCCAGTCAACAGTGAGATCTTTAATACAAATACTTTTGCAACACCCAGTCAACCGTGAGATCTTTAATACAAATATTTTTGCAACACCCAGTCAACAGTGAGATCTTTAATACAAATATTTTTGCAACACCCAGTCTTCACTGAGATTTACAAATCTTTTTGTAACTCAATTACACCCAGTCAACAGTGAGATCTTTAATACTTATCTTTTTGTAACTAAATTACACCCAGTCAACACTTATATTTAAAATCAATAACTTATGTCTTGATATCTATCTTTTTACTTGTAACCAGTACTAAATCATACCAACAGTAATAAGTATCAACTCAATGCAAAAATTCTTCATGTTTGTTAAATTATGTCAATATTATTACATTGTAGTTGTCAAAAAAGAGGAGTTATTCCATAATTGTATTATTTTAGATGTTTTTTCGATATGAATTAGATTTAGAATAAAACAGTATATTTACTGTGGTTAACACCATATGTTTAACCATGTTTAACAT